TAATGATAATTTATTTGTTTTTATCACCATAATATTGTTCTTATTTAAATTATTTACAATGTTTTTGTTGATTAGAGTTACTTCTGAACCTGTATCTAATAATAACTTGTATACTGAATCTTGTATGTACCCTTCAATAAACTTTAAAGTATTAGTGTTATTATTTTTATTTAATTCCCCAGTATCTCTAATAAACTCCCTTGGATGTTCATACTTTGATAAGTAGACAATATTATGCACATAGGAGCGGTCTAAGCAAAATTTCTCCCTTCTGCATCAACACTTGCTTCCCCCCTATTCTCCTCTGTTCTAACTACATTCACCTGTCTTCTCTCCTCATTTTCCCCTCTATTATATCTTGGATTCCCTTCTCTGTAAACTTCCCTATTTCTCGTCTCCTGCGGATAATTTCCCTGGTTCTGTCTCCAATTATTGCCTCTGTCATTTCCTTGTCTCCAGTTATTCCCTCTATCATTGTTTGTATTCCCTTGTCTACGTTCCCAGTTATATCTTCCGATATCTCTCCTGACATTGTTCATATTCTCTCCCCTATTTGTAAAATCCCTGCTTCTATTTTGTCTCTCAAATTCTCTTTCCCTATAATTATTCCCTCGATTCACATATCCCTGTCTATTTGCTGTGTTATTCCTATATGTCCCTTGCTCTTGTCCATTTCGATTTTGCGTCCCTATACTCCTCTCAATCCTCTGAAGATATCCTGTCAAACTTTCCATCGTCTTTATATTGTGGAGAGCTATTGTTTCCGCCATGTTATGGTTATATTGCCTGGCGATGTATAGGACAATCTCCTCTTCTCGCATAGCCGGTTCTAAGTATTGTGCTGTCTGGAATAACTGCATTGCGTACAGATTGTAGTTGGTACTTTTTTCATAATTGAATTTCCCAAAATACAACCGCTCCCTGAAACTAGCCTGTTGGTTTTCTCCCCAAAAATAGTTAATAAACTTGGCCTCAAATTCCTGCACATTATTTATGGAATTTTCATTATTGCAAAACCATAATAATGGCATGCCCACTAACATGTTTCGAATATTCAATTTCATTTCTATCGGATCCCTTACATTCTTTACCTTATTTTTGATGATATCTACAAATATTCTAGGATGTAAGTGATTCAGGTTTCCGTCAAACTTAATTCCCCCATCATTATAACTCGGCATCACAGTACTCACTCCCCTTGTTTGTTCTAGATTTGATTCCAAACGCTGAATCTCCTCACTTGCATTTTTAAATTTCTCTCTCAATTCCTCAACTTGTCCCTGTAATACTCTATCTCCCTTTTCCGCCTGATTTGCATGCATACCCATTTCCAGTTCCAAATTCTGCAATCCCATCTTTATATTGTTTTTGATAATGGTAAGTTTTTCCTCATGATCCTGAGTTTGCTTTTTAACACTTTCTACCTCCCTAACAATCTCTTTATTCTGCTTATTAACTTCTTTGTTTATTTCCGTTGGTAAATTCTTTTGAATGGCTGTTCCCAACTCTACAAATCTGCTCCCAATTTCCTGTCCTATTTCCGCTCTAATTATGGCCTTTTCTCTGGATATCTCCTCCTGTACATTCCTCTTAAAATTCTCACTTTCTCCTCTGACCTGTTCTACTTTCTCTTCTAAACCTTGGGTAATGTGTAACATCTCTTCCCTGACTATCTTCACTTCTTCTTTGATTTCTTCCCTCATTTTAATTAACTCTCCCCTAAGTTCTCCTTTAATATTATTTTCCATTTTGTTCATATCCCCCCTAATATTGTTAATATTACTATCCATTTTGTGCATATCCCCCCTAATATTATGATCCATCTGTTGTAGCATCCGCATTATTTGCTTCATATCCATCTGTGCCATCCCTGACTCTCCAACATCTCCTTCCCTGCGTCTCTCCTCCTGCACTCTACTTTCATCCTCACTTACATCACATCTATCTCTCACTATCTCATCCAACTCCTCTCTCAAATTATCTGTTAGACTTCCCTCTCTATCACCTTGTCCTGCTTCTTGTATGCCTTGCTCTAAATATACTACAACTTCTCCTGATCCTCCTCTGCTTTCTTCATCTACCTGTATATCCTGTTCCTGTTCTAACACCTGTTCTCCTTTACTCTCTTTCGGTACGACTTCTTTTCCATTTCTTAAAGTCATTCGGTCTGCCATTTTATCCTAATATCTATTTATTCTCAAATTTAACTTTAACTGCCCCAGAATCTCTGCAACTCTAATCACACCAATTTATTTTTACTCTAATCTGTGTAATATTAATAAATCTGCTTAAAAACACCCTTATTTCTGTTTTCCCAGAGGCCCCACGTTGTTGCGCCAATTGATAAAGTTGTATTTTATTAATTTTATTTTTTATTTATAATAAATGTAATTTTTAAAATATGTGGTTCGTTGTTTAATTTAATATATACCTCAGCTAGCTCAATTATATGTTCTAAGCAATCTGTCACTGTGTGACGTCGACTCTGTAGTCTCCTGGTAGAGTTCAAAAAGAAATTAAACCAAAATTTACTTTAGACCTTTGATAAATTAACCCAAATGAAGCACGTTATTTATTAATATTGAACAAATTTAATATAAACAATAAAATTCGTCTGCAACTTCGGTTGCCTTTAAAAATTTACAAAAATAGGAATCGTTTAAGTCTTAACGTGGTTTAGTGACGTGACAATAAAAATGTATTACAAAATGTGGAGACTCTCTACAAGTACCTAAAAACTAAATAAATATTGCAACTTTATAAAGTGTTTAAATGAACTATAAAGAAAAAGAAAATGAACACTTTATTCCGCTGACTATTCAAATATAATCAAAATTTCAAATGATCCCCAAAATTATTGTCCAACCTCACTTTAAAACAGTTCTGATTTCTTTAAAGGAAACTAACTACTCAAAAATAATCGGTGAAACTGGAATATCAATCCTCTCTTCGGAAGTTAAGGTACGTACTATTCTATTTTTAATTTAATGATCATTAATATTTTCAATTTTTAAGGCCTATCGCAATTATGTTAATTCATGAATTTTAATTTTCTCAATTTAAATGACATTTCTATACTCCAATATAATTTATAAGTGAAATTGTTTCTCTTACTCTCTGGAACAAATTTCTGGATATCTCTGCTGTGGAAACTGTGGAAAAACTAAATTCTAATTAGACGAGTTAAAAACACTCCCGACCTATTCCACAGTTTCAGGGCTCTCCTTCGTCCAAAAAAACCTCGTCGGCGTCCTCTCCAAAAAACCAATTCCTCTTATTATCCGTTGCTAACAGCAACCAACGTTCTTTTTTTTTCTGTCTTCTATTTAAATATTTTAAACCATAAAACTGTCCTGTTTGACATATTTGTCAAGCCACATTACTTTCTCATAATCACTTTAATCACATCTAATTTGGGAATTTATAAAAAAAATGTTTAGATATAAAACTTATTCTATTACAATACTAATTTATTCTTTTCATCTCCACATCATTGTAATTTCTTATTTAACAAAACCCCTATTAATTTAGCTCCCACAGACTGTCAAATAAACTGTCAAGCAGTTTATTTTCTGACGTTTATTAAAATTTCTATGTTTAAATATTTTTTTAAAATTCTTCTTTTTTGTTCTTTTTAAGGTTTAGACGATTCACCTATACACTAGGCAACTATACTATTCAGAAATTATTAACACTATACCAGGTAAGTCAAAATTAATTTATTTAACAATTTACTAATCTTTTTCTCTCTTTTATTTCAGAGTCGAACCCACATTGTGATGGCTTCATGAAATTCATAAACAACAAACTCATATAAAAATCCATTTAAGTTGTATATTTTTTAACATATTGAAATCATTTCAATATATATATATATATATATATATATATATATATATATATATATATATATATATATATATATATATATATATATGTATATAGTGCACTCGTAAGTGAATGGGATGTTTTTGGTCAATACTTGAGCTACTTTATCTATTTAATGAAGACGTTTCGCCCACTGTTTAATGAGCATTATCAGTTCATCTTTAAAAGATCTGTAGCATTAAAATGTTATTAAATTGAAGAAACATTAAAATAAGGCAAACATTAATCTAATAAATACATCAGCAACAAAACAGGATCACAGAACGCCGGAAGATTCTCACTTTATGTACCTAATTTTATATTAATTTCTTAATTTAACTTTTGATAACATTGATTGATTATAAAATCTATCAAAAAATGTAATTGTCAATTTTTATTGAAAAATTGGGTATCACTACTACAGGAGCAATGCGACCAATTTGTGGCAATAGAGTTAGAAGACCCTGATGGTTTCCAGGGCAACAACTAACACTAACCACGGAGGAAGCTACAGCTACCTGAGGAAATGAATGCCAAACGATAACACGTTTAAAATCAATAGACAAGGTTATTGGGTTTCAAATTGTAAGATGATTGGGTTTAGGGTGAAAAAATTTTTTAAAAGTGTCAAGAGGTTTTAGTTTTTGACCTGCATAATTTTGAAAATTATCCATTTAAAAAAATTAGATTGCAAAATTATTTTGCAAATGAAATTGTGTGTGATGATTAAATATATTAAAGAGTTATCTCTCTCGGAATATGAAGATCGTAAGTTTGATTTTAGTATGGAAATAAACTCGCAAAAAACATTTTTAACTGTTTTTTTTTGTGTTTTTAGTTTATTTCAATAATAATAATAAGTCTTAAGATTTAAAACTAGCATTATCTTATGTAAAATTTAATTACAAAACTTTTATGTATCAAAAAAAAATTATTCTAAAACTAATAGTTCTTGATATTTATGTAAAAAACTGCGTTTATATGCTTTATATACTCAACAATCGTTGTTTTAAACAGGTACCGCCTAGATCTATAAATGACGATTCAGTTCGAGCCGTTGGGAACATTCAAAATGCCAGTCAAATACTAATAGCGGAAGGGAAGTTTTAACGGACGTTTAATATGTGACATATGTGTCAATAGCCAAATTATGGTGTATACAATAAAATTTCAGTGTTATAATGTCAGATTCGTGTAATATATCTCAAGATGCTATAAAATCAGTCAATAGTACGTTGTTACAAAATCAGTCGTCCCTCTATAAAGAAAATATAAAATTACAAGATGATATAGTACGATTATCTCAGCAGTTGGAGGAGATCCGATCATTAAAGATGAACGACGATCTATTTCAATATTTCCAAAAAGAAAAAGAAAATTTACTAACTCTTAATAACACATTAAGAGAAAATATTCGGCATTTAAAAACCCCATCCAAATTTGGTAGGATTTTATATATTATTTGTGTATGTATATGTATTTTTTAATATAGCTTGTTGTTTCCTATAATCTCCGAAAATAGAGGCTTATAATATGAAACAGCGGCTCCGAAAACAGCAGCATATTAAAAAAAGAGTTAGGTTCAAAGGAGACTAAAGAGATGTCTTAAATAGTAGGGGGAAGGTGTTCTAAAATGACATAGCATGTAAAATGGCATGCCGTTACTTATTTCAAAAGTACTGGCACCATCTCGTGAACAGGTACTTACGGTTTTATGTGGCAAAAAGCAACCGAATTACATGTTGGCACTCCATTTGGTTTGTAACTATGATACATCAAAGTTAACCTAACAATTATTTTTACTGGTGTAAATGTTTTAATGTGTTCTGCTGCAAATTAGTTTTAACTGGAAAATACTATTTGTTTTAAAGTGAAACCAACGCTAGGAAATACGTGTAGGTAGGCAGGTATATACTACAGATGCACATACTCGGAATTGTCGTTGACTGACAGATAATTTAATTCGGTAAAAATAAAGAACCACGTATTGTTGCTGATAAAACGACACAGCTATTCATGAAGGTAAAATGACATACTATATTATTTTAGAAGCAAAGCTCAAATTAATTTGTATATAATATCATTTTGTTTTTTTTAGGTACATTATGGTGAATAAACCCGAGAGAACATCAAACAGACAATCGTGATGATCAAGAAAAAGAATTTATAGAGCACATACTGTTATTACAGTCTAAATTGTTTGGGATTACTACAGACATACTACTTGCATTTGAATTTGCCACTAAAAATAGCATTTTAAATAAATTTAAAGATCGCAGCACTGGACGAAAGTGATTGAGAAGATTTCGTATGCGATATCCTGAAATATCCTTGGGGCAACCTGAAGCTTGGTCTGAAGCTAGAGCTATGACATTTAATAAGCCTCAAATACAATTTTTTTAATACGTTGGAATGACTCTGGAAAAACAGAAAATTAAAGTTATTGAATTTCTAAAATCACTAAAAGCATTGACATTTGCCAAAAAATGTTGAATAATTATTTTATGCTTCCCTGCTCACTACACACATCGTATCCAACCGTTTGATGTTTCCTTCTTTGGTATCTTGAAAACATTTTATAACCAGGAATTTTCACTATGGTTAAAAAACGATCCAGGACACCGGTAGTCACACAGAATCAAATCGGCGAACTTTTCAGTTCTGTTTACGGAAAAGCAGCAACAATAAAAATGCTATAAGCGGCTTTTTGAAAATGGGATCCACTCAACCCAAGGGTTTTCCCAGACGAGTTTTTTGAATCAGCTGAGACCACAAATAAATTATTAGAAACAACCAGTACAGAAGAATATGCGTCTAATCTACCAGAAAAGTCGGCCAGAAAAGAAATAGAAACAAGAAGTGTTATGAAAAAAATGGCGCAACAAGAGCAAGATACCACTCACAAAAAAGAAAATAAGACCAGAGGTTATCAGAAAGATAACAATACGAAAGAAAATATACCTTAAAAAAATAATTACACTGCACGAAATTTCTCCAGTGCCTGTAGCAAATGAAACTAGGAAAAAACACAGAGTGAATAAGATCTGTTTGCAGCCGAAGATGATGAAAATAATGTAGCTTGTCTTTACTGCAATGATTTATCTAGAATGCTCGGTCCAGGGAGTATTGGATTAGTTGTATAAAATGCAATAATTGTGCACATTGAGAATATGATGCGGTATCTGTAAAAGTAAAATAGTTTATTTGTTAGCTTTGCCAAAACTGATTTCATGTTTTGTTAGTTTATCTACCTATATTTTTATGTTTTCATGCTACCATTTTTACCATTTGCTGTGAGTATATATGTCATTTTACAGGACACCATAGTTGTGTCGTTTTATATGATAAATGGCTGATGGAGCAACTTGAAGATGCTGAAAACATTATCAAAGAATTTAAACAACAAATTAATATACCTATATTATAATGTATTTCTAAAATATATGTACGTAAAAGTTACATAAATAAAAATGATAAAATATTTCATTCAAAAATAAGGTTCTTTAATAGACTTTTTTTAATAATAAGTACAATTTATATCGTTAGAGCAGGACACCATAGTTGTGTCGTTTTATATGATAAATGTTTGTAAAATGACAGTGTAAGGCTTTTTAAAAAATAGTTTTCACAAGTTTTTTATAGAGATAGGATGTTTTCGTTAAGTATCGGAATAAAACGTTTTTAAAGGAACGTGTTTTCAGTTCAATATTTCGAATGGTATCTGCAAAAAAATGTCTCAAATAAAAAGTACGTCATTTTAGGACACCTTTCCCTAACTAAAACAAATTGAAATTTTTTGTAAATACCTTAAGCATAAATAACAACACAATGAACAATATAATTATAAATAACTTCAAATAGTAAAAAAAATACTTTCTCGTTATTTACAATAGTATTTCATTCTTAACTGAGTAATTGTCACCGACAACTTGGCTGCTCTAAAATAATTTGGCATTTAATCCCATGCCATAAACAATAAATTTCTAGTACTGTTTGATCTCCATTTTAATCATTCTGATCTCAGGTGTTGAATCGGATTTATGCCTTACCGTAGTATGTCAATAAAGGCCGTTTTGGATTGTTATTTTCCTCGTCACGACGGATTTGTTTGAAACTTTGGATTTAGGTTTCTCTTACTCTATTTCGCTTTTGGACTTTCTACTTAACGGGTGAAAGCCACCCCTCCTCGGGGGTGAAAAAATATACGTTCAAAATAAGTCCGCAAATAGATAAATTGCCAAATTTATTGTAAAATGCATTGAAGTAGCCTTGGTTTATCATTATATGGCCCAAGCACTGCAGCTTACGGCCCTTCACGATGTTGACCAAATCTGCTGTTGTGTTCATCCTCCGCAGTACTTCTTCATTGGTGACTTTGTCTGTCCATGGTATCTTCAAGATCCTTTTGTAAGACCATAGCTCAAAAGCCTGAAGTTTTAATAGAGTTTTTAGTGAGGTCATGGCTCTTGAACACATAACGCACAGTCAAGAATGCTTTCTTGACTCTTTGCCTTTCCGATGCGACATTTAATCTCTTGGGTATTGTCCGACGACTCAATGATTATAGTTCCCAAGTAGTTATATTGTGAGACTCGTTCAATTCTCATTTGGTTCACATACAAATTTGCTCCAGTTATGTTTTCCTTGCTGATGATCATTAGCTTGGTTTTGCTGGTGTTTATATCCAGTCCATATTTTCTACTTGTTTTCATTATTTTGTTCATTAAGGTTTGCAGCTCTTCTGTTGTATTGGAAAACACTATTGATCACCTCCATATCGCAGGTTGGAGATTGTTTTAATTATAACTAATCTAGGGGTGAGATTTATGGGTTAAACAGTGATAAAATCTTAAATGCTGTTATTTAATGTTGACGTTGACAACTTTACGTTGCTATACCTATGTATTTTTTACTCGTTATAGTTTGATTTGTAGCATATGCATTTACTACTAATGTATTAATTAAAAGTTCTCTACCCACTTCTCTCTTCCAATTAGTTTCGGGACGAAGTGTTGATGAATATGACACTAGTTTATCGAAGACTTGTTTCAGAGTTGCCATTTGATGAATTATCGATTTACCACCTCTGAAACCAGCCTTGTATATTCCTACTATCCGTTCTGTATATGGTGCCATACGGTGACATAGTACTGTGGAAAATATTTTATACGCTGTATTTAGAAGCGTAATTCCTCTGTGGTTAAAACATTCAAAGATATCTCCTTTTTTGTCTATGGTGCAAAAATCCAACCATTGGGGAGGGATTTTTGTGTCCATATTTCTTTTATAAGCTGCTGTAATGCCATTATGCTATCGCGGCCACCTTCTTTATATAGTTTAGCTTTGAGATTATCTATTCCGAGTGATTTGTTTCTGGCTAGTTTTTAACTGCATCTTTAACTTCAAGAATCGTTGGTAGTTCCTCTCCTTTCTCGTCTGTTCCCCTTACCTCGTTCGTCTTCCAGATTTTCTTCTTCCTCTATATTAAGTGCCTGGTTAAAATATTCCACCCATCTATTTAATACATCTTTCCTTGTTGTTAACATAGCCGATTACTACATAGATTTGAAATTATTTGTCCATCTTGTTTGTTTATCAGCTTGTCAATGTGGAGAGATAGAAATATGGAAATTCTACATAGAGAAATTATTTGCATCGAACAGGATTGATGATCAGTTATATGGAGGAAGAGAAAGAGAACCTTCTATCTTTAAATAAGAGAGAGAAGATACCATTACAGCACTAAAAAACAGCAATACAGCAGGTCCGGATAATTTGCACTGTGAAATACTAAAGATCCTATGTAAATCAGACAAACATTCTTGATAATCTAGTTGCACTTTTTAACAACATAATAGCGAAAAAATCTCGTAGGACTGGTTGCAGACGACATTTATTATAATTACGAAGAAACCAAATGACTAGCTCTGTGATAACCACCGACTTATAAGCTTGATTAATCATATCACTAAAGCGTTCACCAAGATCATGTACACAAGGATGGCGAATTCCACAAAAAATATCCACTTTTTTGATGCCAAGAACATTACCATGTAGGACCAATTTTTTTGAAGCAAAGTTTTTATACTGGCGTTGTATTACTTTGTTCTCTGTAGTAAAATGCTGAGGCTAGCGTCACGGAACTAACGCCACAAGATGGCATTAAAAAACAAAAATGAAGGCCTTTTTATACTTTTAAAGTAATGTTTTTTAGTTTATTGTGTCTCAACTACAAGGTTATTTACACTGGGTCAATTTACTATATACTACTACTTACTTACTATTATTACACATTTTACATTACATTAAGTCTGTGTGGAGTTGTCTGTCTCCCATCGGACGCGTCCCCAGGTGGTGGATAGGGGAACGCCCTAACCGGTCCTAGGACCGGCGGGTAGGTGGGAAATAAAATACCACCCGTGAACCAAAACGGACTAAGGTAT